TCTAATACAAAAAATATTAACTTTATTTGGGTTTATTAATTTATTACAAGTACTGTGTTCTTTCCTTAATAATTATCATCTTCTAAATATTGTTGTTTTTTGTCTATCAGATTTCTTACGTCGGCATTACAAATTATTTATTAATACTTTCTTTTAAATATTGAATAATTTTCAAATAGAACCAATGCCTTATTGATCTGCCTTGTAACAAATTGCAAAGGGAATTGTAAAAACGGACCTGAAGTACGTGGAATTATCTTTCCCTAAAGATAAAGATTAAAGAATTATCCGATTTTTCGATTCGTACAATCAGTAGAGATCGTTAGATTATTGTTTCGGTTGACGGACACGCATGTCTTTTTTTTTTTTTTTTTTTTACGAATTGGTCAAACCCAAACTCAAACAAAAACATTGTTTTCAATCGTTATGATGAGTCCCCCGATTAAATAGAATTAGATTAGAATTTTATTATAAACAATTGTCTTGTAAATGGAATTTTTAAAGCATTCTGAATGTATAAATAAAGAAAAAAGTGTGCAAGACAATAAGAAACACTACCTGCCAAAAAAAAAAAAAGTGGATGTTTGTTTTATCGGCTGAAAAATGTAAGAAATCCGATCCCATATATAAAGGAACACACACACACACACACACACACACACACACAACCTGGGTTTTTTTAACCTAAGTCACTCCACGGAATCGCTAAAACATAGAGCATAGTCTGATGAAAAAAGACGCCAAAGTTTATGAAAACAAAATTTTATTGTCAAAATGCTTATGTTTTTTATGAAGAGGATAGACTAAATTTTTTTTTAATTATTTTTTAAAAAATTTTTCCATCTTTTAGAATATTCTAAATTTTGATTTAAAAACCTTGTTTCTCTTTGTCGCAACAAGGGGTAGTAAATAACATAGATAATTTTAGCGCGTTTTTTTTGTATTTACACACATTAATTTGGAAAATCTTGCAAAAATAAAAATAATTGTCAAATGTTAATGAAACTTTCAGAAACTATTCACAGATGATCAAAATTATTATAAATATGTTTTTTTTTTATTAAAGTCATGGCAGAAATATTTTTTTTTTTATTTATTAACACCCCCATAACTAATTTTATGAAAAACTCTAGAAATTCGAGACCATCGGTTTTAGTGATTACAATAGTTAAAAGCACAAGGCTTTGAAGAATGCAAATCATGTTTTTTTTTTTTTTTTAATTTTCAACAACGTACCTGAAAATCAGCTGTGAATTGTAACATACAAAACTCAATAAAACAAATATATTATTTAGTTTCAAATGCTTTTATTTGTTTTAATTTGTTTTTATGAATATGGACAATATTTTCTGAAAGCAAAAATTTTTTCAATGAAAATTGAATTTTTAATACAATTATTTCTTATTTCTTTAATTTTAAAAAATTTTTTTTTAAATTTTAAATTGAATTTTTAAAAATATTTTAACATTAGTTAAAAGCAACATCAACCTTTCAAAATGTCCGTGTGAGATTGTCATTGTCTTTAGCGCTTTGAAAATTGTATAATTTGGACCAATCAGATTAGCCATGGTAATTAAGAAATGTAATTTTGTGTTTATAGTCGGACAGTAATTATCAAGTACGGAAGACCAACCAGAATACAATTTAGTTGCATTATTTGAGTTCAGCATTGTTCTCCACTGTTAAGCCCTTTTACTTTTGCGAAACACGTATGGAGAAGTTAATTTGAGTTTTCAATTTCAACTGAGAAGGGTACCTACAAGTAACAGTATCATCTTATGAAATTTAACTACTGCTAAACTTTAATTTATATGATCTTATTTTTATATTAATCTCAGTTATGACATTTTTCCATAAATGAAATATCAAAATTAATAATAAAATGAAAAAAATACAAATAACACAGTAAAATGTAATAAATGTACATAAAATTATAGTATTTTATGTACACTTCTGATAAAATTTCATAAGAAAGGTACCTAAATTAATTAGATACCTATTTCTTATGAAATTTAATCTCACTATTAACAGTCTTATTTTTTAATTTCTTTATATTTTCCATAAAGCATCGTAAACGTAAAAATGAAAGCTAAGTACAAAAAAAAAAAAAAAAAAAAATTAAAAATTAGAGCGCTGAAAGTTTTCCTTAAAAGTAACGAGGTAAATAATTTGATCACTTAAATAATTTCACTTCCTTCCATGGTAGAAAGAATTATCCTCCCGTAAGTTATCTAAACGTCATGAATGTACCTTTCGTCAATCGTCAAGAGACGCGAAAGGTTATGACCTGCTTTGTTTTATTTACAAATTACATTTTTTCGGCGCAGAAGCTAAGTTAAGCTTGGTTCAAAATATTTTATTAAAATCAGTTTTAAAAAAATGATAATTGATTTTTAAACGAATATCAAAGTCAGATTTTAATCTTTTTTATCAAATCGAAAAAAATGATTGAAAATGATTGATTATCTGTCCTTTTTTTTTGACCAAAAAAAAAAACAATATTTTTAACGAAAATTTCAGACGTGCTAGGAACGATTAAAAAATGTAAAAAAAATACCCCAAAAATACTTTGATCTTTCCTCTTTAATAATAATATGAACATTAGACGATAAAATTTTGTTTTCGTCAAGTTCGGCTTTTTTTTCATCATGCTATGCTCTTTTTGTTTACATTTTCGTGGGTGAGTTGTCCCCTTTCATTCTCACGATGTGTCTTAATCGTGTTTTCAAATTGATTTTTGTTAAAAAACAATTTTCTTTTTCCCATTTTCGGCGCCGTTAGAACCATCACAAGGTTATTTTATGTAGTCCTGTGAAGTTTTGTTGAAATCGGCTAAAAAATGTAGGAAATTCGATCCAATATAAATGTTACACACACACACACACACACACACACACACACACACACACACACACACACAATCTGCGTTTTATAATAAGTAAGATAATGATTATTAAAGGGTAATATATTTCAATTTAAATTAAATTATCAATTTAAAATTTACCTCCGTATTATTTAAACTCATTTCCAATTGGAAAATATTAGAGGAGAAATTTGGATAAAACATTACTAACAGAAAATTAGGTCCTTCTTTTATAATATTCTATATATCTATACACATACACACCTCTACACACATCCGAACACCCATCTATATCCACATACATACATATCCCTATATATATAAATCCATGTATACACATACACACACATACACACAAAACTATGTGTATATACCCATACATATACATATACACCTGTATAAAAATACATACACATATATATACATACATATCCACATATACACATATATAACACATATACACATATATATATATATTATATGTATATATATATATATATACACATATATACACACACATATAAATACCTATACATGCACATCCACATATTGCACGTATACACACATATACATATACATATATACAAACATACACACACACATATATATATATATATATACACATATACACACATACACCCACATATGCATGTATTCAAAGAACATATCAATATCCATACGTAATTACATTATTATATCTATTATATCTATATTCTCCCATATTGTATATACGAATACACAAATTCCTATAATTATACGTACATATACATATATTACCCATTTTCATCCCATATCTATGGCAAGACATACAAGTACCCATCTAATTATACACACCCACATTTTTATCATATATATATATATATATATATATATATATATATATATATATATATATATATAAAAACATGCATGCCTCTTTTCCAAAATAAATACATATACATGTACATATTAAAAGTCGTATCAGTAAATTTTACGAAAGCTTGTAGTAAAAATAAGAACTAATGCGGCAAGAAAATTTATAGAAACAAGGTTTCTTTTCATTCATAACGGATTCGGAGGTTTTTTTATATTATTTGAATTGTTTGCGACGATGGATTTCTCGCCAATTAAATCATTAACCTTTTGCATTTGTTTTTTGTGTGAATAATTCATGAATATATATATATATATATATATATATATATATATATATATATATATATATATATATATATATATATATATATATATATATATATATATATATATTTTTATTTATTCTATTTAAGTTTATGATATCACAAATTTGAACAAATATATAAAAACTGTCAAATATCATTAAAATTCTCATAAAAAATATCGTAAAAAATATCATAAAATATAAAAATTGTTATAAAAAATGACATAAAAATATCATCAAAATATAAAAATATCATTAAATAATGTCATAAAAAATCACCAAAAATATCATTAACAATATGAAAATTATCAAAAATATCATCAAAGATATAATAAAAATATCATACAAAATATCATATAAAAATATAATCAAAATATCATCAAAATATGAAAAAATATCATAAAAATATCATCAAAAATGTCATCAAAAATAACAAAAAATATCATTAAAAATATCATTAAAATATAAAAATATCATAAAAAAATGTCATAAAAAAATATCATCAAAGATATAATAAAATATAAAAATATAATCAAATATTAAAAATATAAAAATAACGTAAAATATCAAAATATCATGAAAAATATAAAATAAAATATCATTAAAATGTCATCAAAATTATAATAAAAAATAACATAAAAAAGATATGAAAAATATCAAAAAATCATAAAAATATAAAATATGTCATCAAAATATGATCAAAATTTATCAAAAATATGAAAAAATCATCACAAAATATCATCAATAATAATCAAAATCATTAAAGAGAATATCAGAAAACTTCGATCGTATCATCATAAAAAAAAGCAGATGGACTTAAGATGTTGGGATGAGTTTAACAATCATTCATAAATTCTACTTGAATTTCTGAGATGACGAATTATCATGATGCACTAATTTATTGTATTTTTTGTACTTGCTTGTTATAGTCACAAATGTTCGGTCGTAGTACACTGCAGCCGTTTAAGATGTACATACGTTGAGAGATAAATAGATATGAACAGGCTGAGATAGATGGATAAAAGACAAAATGAGATAGATAAAGAACAGAATGAGATTGATATGAACCGACTGAGATAGATAGATAGATAGATAGATATGAACAGAGACTGAGATAGACAGATACATAGATGTACAGAGACTGCACGTGCTTGATTCAAAAATCGTGCGACTCATACAGCAATCCCTATCACTTGACTTAAAATATTTTTGCCCTTCCTTGCCTTTAAAGGAGTGCCCTTTGCCGTGCTGATGTTGCTACATGCCTTACTTCTTGCCTATCTCACACTGCGAATTTTTTTATAAGCTCTATACTAAACATTAAATCTTTTACGAAAAAAAGAACTAAACAAAATGAACACAAAACGATCAGCTTTTTTAAAAGGACTCGTAACTGGAAAAATCGAATGAAAAAGAATGTTAACAACAAATACTTTTTTCACACCCAACCTAGTTCTGCGGAATCAGAATCAACGTTGAGTTTAAGCAAGCGAATGAGCCAATTGGAGTAAAGTGCCATGCAGATTTAAATTTTTCCCAATTGTGACGAATGCAGCTATCGATTTTTTTTGCATGCTAATTAACATTCGTGTCAGTCAGCTGGCCAATAGAATCTTCCTGCCTATTCGTGGCAGCTATAGGCTCTCACTCTGGCCGGTACAAAATGGCCGCAAATGGGAGTTGGGAAATGCAAAGTCGGTCTTGGCCTTTCCACTAACTTGGAGCATGTGCATGTAAATTTTGGTGCAAATCCGTCGAGAATTGCGGCCGTGCATTCGTTACATACACACACACACATCCTGCCTTTTATAGATAGAGATGAACAGATAGATAGATAGATAGATAGATAGATAGATAGATAGATAGATAGATAGAAATGAACAAACAGATAGAATATGAACAAATTGAGACCGATAATATATATATAGATAGATAGACACACAACTAGATAGATAGAAACGAAAAAACAGAATGATATGAACAGATTAAGACAGATAACAGATAGATAGATGGATAGATAACAGATAGATAGATAGATATGAATAGAGTGTGATAGACAGATACATAGATATACACAGAACAAGATAGATAGATGATGAACAGACAGATAGATAGATAGATAGATAGATAGATAGATAGATAGATAGATAGATAGATATGAATGACTTAGATAAATAAATCGATCGACAGATAGATTGATATGGAAGTAGATAGATAGATGGAAAGAGACTAAAAGAGTGTAATAGAAAGATGTTTGAATAAACTCAGCTAAACATGAACAGACAGACATTAACGGGTAGAGTGATAAAACTGAAGCTAGTGAAAAAGGGGAGAGTATTCGTTAGATCTTTTCGATGACAACACACGCACAAAAAAAAATAAAAATATGTTTGTATTTTTTTTAAGGATAAATATTTAATCGTGTGACATTTGGAGACAATTTTTTAACTTCTAGCAAATTTTGTATTGGGCGAATGTCCAATTTGTGATGTCGACATTGAGATGTAATTAGCGCTTATCACCATTCAACTAAAATGAAATCCAATAACGCACGAGAGATACTCGATTCAAAGATCGGGCAATTATCGTCTGCTTGCTAATTCGAGGCTCAATTAGATCTCATTTGGCGGGCGACCATTTATGATGGGATCAGTGATGAAGTAACGAATCTTGGATTGTTTGAAAGAGATAAAACATAATCCAACGAGCATACATCTTTAACACCCAGAAATACACACATAGATACACACACACAAGCGCGTGCGTACACACGCACACATATATCTGAATTCATATCCTAAACCATACAGTGAAAAATCCTATGAGAAGTAGAAGTTAGGATTTTTTGGGCACAATCTTAACGTAAGATACGCAGACGACAGGCTATTAATAGCAGATACAGAAATAAAATGCAGGAAACCCAATACAAGAAAAGCGAGAAGAAAGGACTAACAATAAATTGTAAGATGTCAGAATGTATGTTTGTTAGCAAAAGGGACAGCCTAAAATGCAAGCTGAGAACTGGAGACGTCAGAATGAACCAAGTATAGAAATTTAACTGGAATTTTTTTCTTAACGGACGACGGACAAGGTGACACCAAAAGCTGAAGGCCCATTGGAAGATATCTTCCAAAAGCTAAACAAAGAAATAGGAAAATGTCGTCAGAAACAAAGAAAAGAGTGAGGTATTTCTATGTAATATCAATTTACTTATATGGCAGTGAATACGAGACAATCTTCTTATGTCTTCCAAAAGCTAAGCAAAGTATTTAGAAACAGGAAAATATCGTTAGAAAAGAAAGAAAAGAGTGAGGCACTTCTTTGTAATATTAATCCTCCTATATGGCAGTGAATGTTTAACAATCATGTCTTCCAAAATCTAAAGAAAGAAATAGGAAACTTTCGTTAGAAACAAATAAAAAAATGTTGAACTGCTATGCAATATCAATTCTCCTTTATGTCAGTGAATATTGGACAACAGATGAAGAAATTTGAGGTAATCGTGATGTGGTTCTACATAAGGATTCTTAGAATGCCATAGACAGAACATGTGAGCGATGAGAAAGTTTTAAGGAACAAAAAAGACGCCTATACTATTCTGATAGAATCAAAAAGAGAAAATTGAAATTTCTGAAAAACATAAAGAGAACAGTCGGCTTGGAGAATCCAACACTGACGGGATCTACTGATTGCAAGAAGGAAACATTGAATAACCTACCTAAAGAGATTGTGTAAATGGAGGAACAGAAACTGGGAAGGATAGTAAGTTATATAGTAAGGAATGATAGGAAGTTGGCGAGAGCCATGATCACCAAATTTCCTGAAAAGACCCGGCAAATAAAAGAAGAGTCTATGACATTATTTGAATTAGAATCTGAAATACTGGATGATGTTCGATTTATGCGTTTAATGTTGAATTAAGTGCGTTGACACAGGAGATTGTGTCGAAAAATTAAATATGTCAGGTAAAATAAATACCCTATCCATCTTCATGCTACCAAATTGATAGTATACATACATACATATATATATATATATATATATCCATTGCTAAAATAATTACTCCTTCCCCAAGCCAACATACATGACTAAAAATGTTAAAAATTAAAAAAAACATGGAAGAAAAAGGTCAAAATCATAACATCTGGTCATTTAAATATATATATTTGTCCATATACTAAAATAATTTAAATATTTACATAATTCAACAACATCATTTACATTCTTTTATTAGACATTAAATTATGTCATTTACCATCATCCATAATTTAGTTAGATGATAATCTGATTAATATTTAAGAGCGTCTCTTAAATTTTTAAAAAATTGAAAAAATAACATTTTTACTTTTGGTTATAAATACTTGTTGCAAAATAAAATCTTTATATTTGACTTGATAAAGTCCATCAGAGGATAAAACGCGTCGTCTAAGATAATTTTTCCTTATATATATATATATATATATATATATATATATATATATTGAATAAAAACAGACCACATTAAGGTTCCATGTCTACGTGGAACCTTAAAGTGGTCTGTTTTTATTCAAATTTATTTGCTCTGAATTTACATCGAGCTCTCTGGATACCATCCTCCTTGGGTCTACCATACGGATTACCTAGTTTTGCATAAACTATATATATATATATATATATATATATATATATATATACAGGTAGTAATCCGTTGGTATAATCCAGGCGAGTCCTATTAACGGAACATAGAATTTGAAATATATTAAAACTGACTCACAGAGCGCTCAATATATATATATATCATCATGTATATTGGTTGGATTGATGTGAGTTTTAGACCCTGGTTTTCACGCTTTTGCGATCGTCAGTTTGTCTGACGATCGCAAAAGCGTGAAACCCAGAATCACAAACTCACATCAATCCAACCAAATATCTCTGATATTGAGCGCTTTCTAATAAGTACCTCGCATATAATACAAATAATAATATATATATAATATTACAGATATATATTTATGTGCACACACTTTTCACATATAATCATGTATATATATATATATATATATATATATAGAAACACGCATAAACGCGCGAACATACATATACATACATACATACATACCTACATACATACATACATATATATATATACATATATATACATATGCTTAGTGATCCACTATGTAAACATAACAATGACAGACTATATCATCACTGTCGTGTCCATATATTGTTTGATATGTTTGTATTTACATCTTTGATAATGGCTTGAGTAAGCCGAAAGATTAGATTTTATTAAAAAATAATGGATAAATATTGTGAATTTCTTTTTTCGGTTAATGATAATGTTACCAAACTTATCAGAAGATACGAAAAAATTTTACATAAAATAAATAGACAACACTTGTCTATATTATTTAATAAAACGTGTATAAATATACATATATATATATGTATATATATACATGGATATATATATATATATATATATATATATATATATATATATATATATATATATATATATATATATATATATATATATATATATATATATATATATATATATATATATATATATATATATATATATATATATATATATATATATATATATATATATATATATATATATATATATATATATATATATATATAAACACACATACACACACACACACACAGACACCCCACATATATATGTATATTCACTGTATATACTTAATAACTCTGTTATATAACACTGAGCTCTGTATCTTTAACACTTGAGTAAGAAATATATATATATGTAAGTGTAAGTATATGTACGTCTATCTATCTATCTATCTATCTATCTATCTATCTATCTATCTATCTCAGTCTGTTTATATGTATCTAACTCTCTCAGTCTGTTCATATCTGTCTATCTCTCTAACTCAGTCTATTCTTATATATTTCTCTATCTCAATCTGTTCATTTCTATCTACCTATCTCAGTCTGTTCATATCTCTCTATCTATAGCAGTCTGTTTCTATCTATCTATCTATCTATCTATCTCAGTCTGTTTATATGTATCTAACTCTCTCAGTCTGTTCATATCTGTCTATCTCTCTAACTCAGTCTATTCTTATATATTTCTCTATCTCAATCTGTTCATTTCTATCTACCTATCTCAGTCTGTTCATATCTCTCTATCTATAGCAGTCTGTTTCTATCTATCTATCTATCTATCTATCTATCTATCTATCTATCTATCTCAGTCTGTTTATATGTATCTAACTCTCTCAGTCTGTTCATATCTGTCTATCTCTCTAACTCAGTCTATTCTTATATATTTCTCTATCTCTAATAATCTGTTCATTTCTATCTACCTATCTCAGTCTGTTCATATCTCTCTATCTATAGCAGTCTGTTTCTATCTATCTATCTATCTATCTATCTATCTATCTATCTATCTATCTATCTATCTCAGTCTGTTTATATGTATCTAACTCTCTCAGTCTGTTCATATCTGTCTATCTCTCTAACTCAGTCTATTCATATATATTTCTCTATCTCAATCTGTTCATTTCTATCTACCTATCTCAGTCTGTTCATATCTCTCTATCTATAGCAGTCTGTTTATATCTATCTATCTATCTATCTATCTATCTATCTATCTATCTATCTATCTATCTATCCAGGTGTAAGATAAGAACAAATGGAAAATAATTCCGCTGTCCGTAGCATTTAACAGAGAAAATAAGAAAATCTTAATGGAATATAGTAAAAATCGACACTTGAGAAAAAGAGCTCAGTGCCAAAATCGCAGAGCATTGACATTTCCTTAATTCATTTCCGGCGTACATTGACCGACCACTACTATTTGTTTAATTTTCTATATATATATATATATATATATATATATATATATATCAAGGGAAGAGGTTATAGTAGTTCGAACAAAATAAAAGTGTGTATATTAAAAAGAAGAGACGAACCACAAACATTTTTTGATTGTAATGTGAACTTTTTAAAATTATTATGCTTTATTTTTCCATAATGTTGCTGCACGTGTTTTCGGTCTCGCGACCTTCATCAGGCAAAGCGTGGAGATTTCCACATATTATTAAGAATATGTTTTTCGATGTTAAATATTCTCGATATGACATTCTCTTTTTTTGTGTGTCAGTGGCCCAAATGTCTTCCTGAATAGGCAGAGAAAAGTTCTGCGTGAAGGGTTATAAAACAATTAAGATTGGTCCGAGAAATGGTGAAGGAGTCATCGGCATTCTTTTCTTTTAATGACTCCTGTGTGTTCTTAGATCTATTTCCATTTTCTTGTGTTTTTGTCAGCATGCGTATATGTATATTCCCTCTCCATACATGCACACTGTCCTGTTAGGAGGAATTAGTAAACACATTTATACACATACACACATAGACACACACACATACACGCAATTCCTATGCTGTGTAGTGTTCGCGTGTGTGCCCGTTGTTCTTGCCAAAACGTGTCTATATATATATATATATATATCTGCATGTGCATCTATACGCGATTTCCTCTCTACTGTCCTATTACAAGGAATCAGTATATACACATACATACATATATACGTACATACATATACATATACTTCCTAAGTTGTGTGGGGTCTGCGTTTTCCTGCCCATAAGTAGTCACCTGCTTTTGTCAATATGTGTATATATTTTCGTGTTCTAAAGACACCCGCATATATATATATATATATATATATATATATATATATATATATATATATATATATATTTTCTTTTTAAACTTTATTTTCAGTTAATAGTTATATATTTGAGTAAACGCTCCAATTTATTTATTAAACAGTATATGTATTTATTATCTATAGGCCTGAATATGGGTATCAACTAAAATAACCTTTAAAATTGAAGAAAATCTGTTGGATTAATAAATAAAAAATACATTTCTCTGAATATATATATATATATATATATATATATATATGCGCGTGCGTGTGCGTGCGTACGTGTGTGTTTGTTCATGTACGAGTGTATGTGCCTGTGATTTAAAACAATAAACATTTCATTGTTATTAAATTTATTGATCATTTTTGGCTAATATGGAAATGCCTTTTCACAAATGTGACTGTTGTAGATGCAAAAAAACAAACAAATGAAAAAAGTCAAAATTTGTATTAGGTCCAAGTTTTCCGGCTCACATGAGTCATAATCAGAGGTTTGAAAAGGAAATGAAAAGGATAGAAACAAATATATTTTAAGCGCTAAACAATAGGAGGCAGTAAATCATGCCATTCCTTGCTAAAATGACTTATTGCGTTCTAGTGCATTGAGTTGAACTTTCAAACAAAAATATAGCGACACTTAAAACACTGTACAGTTTAAAAAATTTGATTGTGTCTTGGACTCCGTATATATATATATATATATATATATATATATATATATATATATAAAAAAAAATTTTATTCCATGGAATATTAGTATTTAAGCCTTTTTATTATATCCTTACTCTGTCCTAGACATTGAGTTCTACCTGGATTCTTCCTCTTGAAAAAAATTTTCTGAAAATATACATGTATGGGTATTTTTATATATTTTTGCATATGTATGTATATTTTCCACTAATATTATCTCTCTCTCTCTCTATCTCTATATATATATATATATATATATATATATATATATATACATTTATATATGTATGCGTCTTTGAAATGAATATCTGAGGTCTGCTCAGATCAAGCATAGTTTCCAAAGAGGCACTCAATTCTGATTTGCCAACTAATATGCAGGCTTGTAAATGTAGTGTCAGTCAGCGCATGCTGTTATCGAGGGCAGATTATATAAGCCATCCGAAAGATCAGCATGTCAACCAGAAGTAAGTCAACGATGCCAACCTGCTTCATCCTCCTGCCGGCAATATCTGTGTTGTTAGTAATTTGGTTGGCAGATCATCATCTGAGCGGAGAAGTCACACGTTAGTACACATGAAAGTTGTAGTGCTTGCAAATCCAATCCCTATCCTTGATACCCAGGAAATCGAATGCTGGTCTAAAGAGTCATTCTCGGGACCATGGATGCCGAAACAAGACGGGCGCCTTTACAAGTGAGGCAAAGGGCGAGGAGGCAGCTCGCATCTGAGTAAGATGTTTTAATCAACATGTATGGATGCGTGCGTATTTCTGTGTGAAAAGTCGAAACGAGGGAGAGAAATATGAGCAACTTGGTTTACATCTAAACGTTAAATATACAGATGTACTTAACATTTGAATTAATCCTTTTGACCTCTGATGTATCTAAGCTTTAAATTTGTTGCATGACTAAAGCAATAACAATGCAAATAGAAATGATGAAAAGATAAATGAGACAGATTAAGTTTCACATTTGTATATATTGGACGTTACATTTTGAACTTTGGTTCCTCTTCTTTAACGTTTCCATGTAAACTGTAAGCGGTGTTTGTTATATTTTCTCTATATCACTCCACTTTTTATATATGAAAATTATTCCATCAATAAAACCATTGCTACGTAAATTCCTTCGTTTTTTATCATTTATCTTAATACTTATTATTTATGAATAGTTTTGATGAATCATTCAACAATGTATTCTCCCTTCATTGTTTACAACCTCCTGCCAATGATCCACTAACTGTTCAATGCCTCGACGATAAAAATCGCGAGGTTTCGAGCGGAAAAATTCATTAAGCCACGTTTTAAGCTCTACGTCGTTGTTGAACGAAACGCTCCTCAAATTGTTAGAAAGCGTCCTAAAAAGGTGGTAGTCTTAAGAAAATGGACCACCGATTTAAGAGGGATCTGTTTTGTGTCAAAACTAGTGTAGAGCTAAACACAGTATCAGTAGCAGCCCTTAATTAATAAACCTTGTATCAACAGCAGCGAATATAAAAACACGTGAACCTTAACTAATTCTCTCTTCCGAGTTTTCCTTTTTCGAACTGTGTGACATGAGCTTTCTACGCTGAAGCTAAACGTGCTGTGAACGCTTTACACTGAAACACACCACCACTCAAACTCATTTCGTTGTATATGCAATTTACTTCAAACAAAAGAAACTTGACTTTTGTTATTTTTGTTTAATATTTGTTATCTTGCATTGCAAATAAAATTGTGTATGCATTTTCTTCACCAACATTATTTCATGTACTATAAAATATTCCATTAAGAAGCCTTACATATTTAATTATTATTTGACTTAACTAAACTAGTTATAAACATATTATTCAGCTATTAGATACATTCTTTTTTTTAATAACTTATTTTGATATTTATTATTTATGAAATGTTCTGTGAATCATTGAAAAATCTATTCCGTTTCATTGTTTATGACTTCCTGCCAACGATCCACTAAATGTCGAATGTCTCGACGATAAAAATCGCGAAGATTTGACCCGAAAAATTCATCAAGCCACGTTTTAACGAAACACCGCTCGAATTGTATGATAGGGGGACGTTAAACAATATTTTCCGCAGGATGATCAGAGTTACTACAAAGAAAAAATGCCCCGAAAGATTATTCTTCGATCTCATTCGCAGAACATCAGAAAAAAAATGGAATAGATGTGAAAAACTAGCGTGTCTGAAGAAGTTCTTTCTCAGAACAAAACATGTCAATACACAGTTGTCTGTTGTACCATTTATTTGCTTGTTAATTTTTCTGATATATATCTATATATTTATATAATCTCTTTATCCCCCATATTTCTCCATATCTCTCTCTCTATCTATATATATATATATATATATATATATATATATATATAATGGACTCTCCCCGTCGGTTTCGACGTATGAGGATCTGCCAGGTTATTAATTCAGTTATGAATTATAATCTTAAGACCCGCTAGTGATTTACAAAAGGAGACCACATATGGAGCAAGTGTGAGGATTATGAGATGAGATCACTGTTAGATTGGTTGACCTTTTAGATCTTGTTCTCGCTTCTTGAAGATGATTTAGACAAGCAGATTGAAAATTGCTGAGTCCACTAAAACACGTTGATCTCCATTCTACCCGCTCCAAAGCTAAGCGCTCAAGGGTGTCATGTGGTATATTAACTGCTGACAAGTTACTTTTCAGCTTGTCTTTGTATCTTAGCCATGGGCGTCCTACATTCCTGTAGCCCTGATCTAACTGGCTGTACATTAGGATCTTGGTTATCCTGTCATCAGACATTCTCAAGACATGACCAGTCCACCGTATATATATATATATATATATATATATATATATATATATATATATATATATATATGTATGTATATATATATATATATATCCGAATGTAATGAGAACGAAAATAATATATACATTCTAACGTTCACAGCATTAATTCAAAAGAGTGCTCAATACCGATAGTAGTGTAATAATTATCTATTATAATTTTTTCATATAGACAACAACAATTTACTCACTACAAAAAAGTTCGACCAGAACCTTAACAAGAAATAAGTTCATGCACAACCAAAAGAATGCAATAGTTATTAAAAGAGAAAGTAACTTACTTAGACAGAAAATTCTTGAGAATGCCACAATCGCATCTTGCAAAATATAAATTAGTACCTCGGATTTAAAAAAAAAATATCACCTTTCCTAAAAGAAATCCTCCTTTGTCAAGTCAATATACACAACCATACAAATTTTAAAAAGTAAAAGAAATAGTTAAATA